CACATCCGTCGTTTGCCGCGGGCACCACCAACAGCACTCGACGCAGGYGAAACCCAGGAGACAGAGGACAGTAGCCTTCGAAGCCCACAACCTAAACGCAGCGGAACCACGACGCAATGCGATCCGTCACGGTGTGCAGCATACCGAGACCACAGGATGGGGGACACGACGGGCACAAGCGCGCATTCCAAAAAGTCGGGCGGATGATGGGCCCAGCCTCGCAACGCGGTCGAAGGGTGCATCACGCATCCCACAAGTCTCCGCCCTCGCATACGGTAAGAATCGCGTGCATGGCAGAGGCCACCTGCGCCACCGCTCATTGGAGCCGCTCGGATGGCGAAGAGCGCAAAGCGTCCTCACCAAGTCGTGACACCCCGTCAACACAAACGGAACACGCCGTTGTGAGTGCGGACACGAAGACSACACCACAACAGAGCCGCAACAGCTCTCCCCGTAACCTACGGGATGATGGTGCCGAAGCTGAGAGCCGGTGACGGCCACCTCCGCCTCCACACCCTGCAAACRACCGCCAACCGGACCGCCGTCGGTGATCAGGCGCCAATCATCGCAAGACGATGAGCGAGGGTGAACGCAACGATCCACAACCCGGCACCACGGCATAGGAAAGCCCCGACAGACGCGACCGCCGCCAACGACGACCGAGTTGTCGTGAAATAAGACCTCCGAGAGAGACGACCATGGACCCGAACGGCGCCGCAAAAATTTTCGCTCGACCACCAAAGCACGACTCGCCCGTCCCTCGCAAACTGGAAACCACCCAAAGCGTGTGCAGAGAGTCCCTCGTAACTCGAGTACAAGGTCCCAAAACCCACGCCCGGAACGTCACCTTCGTCGACTGCAAGGGGCGTGCTAAGCACGCAGGCCCCTATAAGAGTGCAAACGGGACTCCGAACCGCCAACCACCGACTGTTTGGCACATCCGGAGGGTGCTCACTGAGCCATCCGCCGAGGGACCTGCACATGTCCCTTTCCAGCAAGCTGACTGAACAGACCCCAATGGCGATGTCCCCCTCGGGACCTCATCCCTTTCCGCTCTCAATATGACGCCTTTGGACCTTCGATCCTTGGAAACCACCTTTTCTCGGGGCCGTTCTTACGCCCGAGTGGCAGTGCTCGGTATCTGCTGCCCCCACAAAATTCGACAGCTCAAAAGTCCGTCCCATCTCCGTCCCTTCCACACACAAAGGGATAAGGGGAAGGGCCGGGGAAAAAAAATAAATACATTGAAAAAAAAAAAAAGGGGCGAAAAAGACAGAGAAAAGGCCAAGCAGCTTGTGTGCCTAGCGACTCAGATCACGCCGCAGTGTGGGAGTGAAACGTTAACGGGAAGTCTGCCAGAATCGTGCGTCCGTTCTGGGGTTATGTGTTGGCGAACATGACTGGACACGCAATCCAGAAAGAGAAGGGGGGAAAGAAAAGTCRAGGATGACTTGACAAAATCGTCATTTCAATTTGTGTCGGCCCCGAAAAAAACTGCATCCGGTAGAAGAAGCGAGGCCGAAAACCCGACGGCCATAAGCATTTCCGTGCATGTCCCGGAGAACACCATGGAGCCAATCAGGTACCGCCTCCAGTGAAGCCGGCCACCATGATCACGCGCACGAGTGGGGAGGACCGGATAGGGCAGAAATGGGCCGTTTGCCCCCGCCATGAACATAATTTAGGGGTGGGGGTGGGGGGGGGGGCACAAAGGGCATGAAGTGGCCTCTCTGTTTCCAAAGCTGGGGAGCGCGCGGACCCACCAAGATCATGACTACGCAGCCGCAAGGGGAGGGCCACTTAGGGCAAGAAGTGGGTATTTTGTTCCCAAGCCATAATATTACGCACACTCATGGGGAGGGCCAGATAGGGTGAGAATTGGCTTTCCAGGTCCGAAACACCAGGGGCATGCTCTGCGCACCCCCCACGACGATTACGCTTGTACGCAAGGGGGCCCAGACGCCCTCCGTCTCTGCCCCTCTACTGAAAATCTTCCGTTAAATTGATTGAATACTTGCTTGAGCAAACTTTTATCTACAGAATGAGAAGATTCAGAATTTTGTTTTCAATCTCTGCCCCTCTACTGAAAATCTTCCGTTAAATTGATTGAATACTTGCTTCAGCAAACTTTTATCTACAGAATGAGAAGATTCAGAATTTTGTTTTTATCATGAAAGAAAGGTGAATCCAATA